TTCCTGCTTTGCTTCCTATCTCTCTGGTCCCTTCTCAGTTACTTTGTGAGTTCTCTACCACCTGTTCCTAACTTTGAGGACATCTCTATTCCCTGTCTACGTTAATTCATTTGATGAGCTCCAAGAATCTCAATGGTTGAAAAATCATCTATCTAAATGCCAATTACAATCTAGGTTGGACAGTCCCTTGAGTGGCTTTCTTCTTGTCTCCACATGGATGTGTAATAGGTGTCCCGAATGTAATGAGTTCACAACTAATCGCTTGACTTCCTCTTGCCCTTCCTCCCTCACCAATACTCTTCAGTTGTAAGGACCAGAATCTTGGAGTCATCCTCTGTTTTTCTTTCTCTCATACCTCACACTCACTCCACTTACTCATCCATGGAGAGATTTGTCCATGATATATAGCCAGAATCTAACCATTTTCACCACCTCTGTGGTTACTAAGCTAGTTCAAGCTATTATCTTCTCCCTTTGGACAACTGCAACAGTGTCCTGGCTCCAAGCTTTGCCCTTATGCCCCGTAATGTAGTCTCCCAAAGCAAGACCAAGAATGTCAGTCTGAGTACGTCATCTTCTGCTCAGAAACCCCCAGGACATCTCATCTCATTCCAAGTATTCAGAGTACATATAGAGTCCTCCAAAGGTTCAGAGGCCTCTACAACATGGCTCCAGCCTCCCTTTCTACCTTCCTCTCTGGCCACTTTCTCTCTCAGCTCTAGCCTAGACACTCTGGCCTCCTTGCTGTCCTTGTACAAGTACACTTTATGACACAGTATTTGAACTTGCTGCTCCCTCTGTCTGGATTCCTTTCCCCTTAGTATGTCTGGTGAACTCTTTCCCTTGCAGCCAGTTGCTGGTTAGAAAGACCATTCCTGACCATCCCACTGGTCTCTTCCCTTTCTCCTCTCTTACTCAGCTTTGTTTTCTTCATAGTACACATTGCTAGGAAATACATTCTGTCTGTATATTTGTTTACTTATGTTCTTACTACCTACTAGACTGAAAACCCCTGGAGGGCAAGGATTTTTGTCTCTGTTTCTCGGCTGCATCACCAGAATCTAGACCAATACCTGTCATAGAGTGGGGGATTCAGTCAATGTGTACTATTGTTGTTGGTTTTGTTGTATTTCCCATGTTCCAAACACTTTCCAAGTGTGCTTTTACTTAGTCCTTGCCATGATACTAAAAGACAGGTGTTATTATGCTTATTTTTGTAGATTAAAAAAAATGAGAGGGAATATGTCATAGTCTAATAAAAAAAGCTAGAAGGTAGCTGATCTGGAACTTGAACCTGATCCATTTGATTCTGAAATTCTCTCCATCCTGAAAGAAAGGAGACACCAGCCCATACCAATCCCCAAAGCTTCCAAGGTCTCTGCTTCAACTCCTTAGCAGAGGACTTTATTCGAGAGAGGCAGTCAGTAAAGAGACAGAGATAAGGGAGACAGGAGAAGGTCAGAGAGAGGCAGAATAATGGAAAGTCAGACACAGGCTGTACAGGGACTCTCTGGGAAAGGATGAGCTGTTTGCATCCGTGAGCACATGGTGGGCCAGGCTCCCAGAGGCAATGCTGGACTGGCCCCACTCCCAGCTTCCCCATGCAGAGTTCATAGAGGGATAAATTTCAAAAAACCAGACTTCCTTCATGCACCAGTGAATAAACCCTTGATGCCCCTGGCCTCAGTTTCCCCATCAGTAAAATGATGAGGGTAGCCAGGCAGTGGTTTCAAAAGCTGACTATGTATCAGAATGATCTGGAAATACGAGAATTCAGATTTCAAAACTTCCTCTGGAGAGATTCTGATTCTGGAAGTCTGTTTTGGAGCAGGGAATGTACTTTTTTTTTTCCTTAAACATTTTTATTAGTATATGACAGTTATAAGGAGATGTTACTGTGACATTTCCATATATACATACATTACAACCCAGTTTAGTTCATTCCCCCCATTATTGTCCCTCTTCTCTCTCCCCTGCTCAAAATGACTTCACCAGGTTTCAATGTTCCATATGCATACATGTATAGAAGTACCTCAACCATATTCACCGCTTTACTCTCTTCATTTTTCTCCCCCTCACCCGCTATTTCCCTCCCCTTAGAGAATGTCTGTTTTTGAGGAGAGTTCGATTCCATAGTGAGAAAGCATCATAGACCAGATGAGAACATAATTCCTGGGCCAGAGATAACCTGAATTCAACCCTGACTCTGCCACTTCCTCTTTGTGAGCCCTTGGTACATGGTCCTCTGTGGTCTGGGATCTTCATCAGAAGAATAATCATGCTAACTCTGTGAAGGACTGGTGAAAAGAGGAAGTAAGTTGGCATTTGTGAGGACACTCAGAATAGTGACCTTGTGCACACTTTACTGCCACATTAAGTATCTGCTGAATAACTTTCAAGCAGTGAGGTTGCTGCTGCTTATGGACAGCCACAAACAGCCTTTTTTGATATTCTAGGATTCCTGCCCTAATGCTCCTCTGAACAAGGGACCGGTCCTCATTAAGTGCTTGTGTTAGAATAGAGAGCACTCCAAACACCACTCCTGACTGACTATTGAATCCGCCCCCCCCCCCCCCCCCCCCCCCCCCCCCCCCCCCCCCCCCCCCCCCCCCCCCCCCCCCCCCCCCCCCCCCCCCCCCCCCCCCCCCCCCCCCCCCCCCCCCCCCCCCCCCCCCCCCCCCCCCCCCCCCCCCCCCCCCCCCCCCCCCCCCCCCCCCCCCCCCCCCCCCCCCCCCCCCCCCCCCCCCCCCCCCCCCCCCCCCCCCCCCCCCCCCCCCCCCCCCCCCCCCCCCCCCCCCCCCCCCCCCCCCCCCCCCCCCCCCCCCCCCCCCCCCCCCCCCCCCCCCCCCCCCCCCCCCCCCCCCCCCCCCCCCCCCCCCCCCCCCCCCCCCCCCCCCCCCCCCCCCCCCCCCCCCCCCCCCCCCCCCCCCCCCCCCCCCCCCCCCCCCCCCCCCCCCCCCCCCCCCCCCCCCCCCCCCCCCCCCCCCCCCCCCCCCCCCCCCCCCCCCCCCCCCCCCCCCCCCCCCCCCCCCCCCCCCCCCCCCCCCCCCCCCCCCCCCCCCCCCCCCCCCCCCCCCCCCCCCCCCCCCCCCCCCCCCCCCCCCCCCCCCCCCCCCCCCCCCCCCCCCCCCCCCCCCCCCCCCCCCCCCCCCCCCCCCCCCCCCCCCCCCCCCCCCCCCCCCCCCCCCCCCCCCCCCCCCCCCCCCCCCCCCCCCCCCCCCCCCCCCCCCCCCCCCCCCCCCCCCCCCCCCCCCCCCCCCCCCCCCCCCCCCCCCCCCCCCCCCCCCCCCCCCCCCCCCCCCCCCCCCCCCCCCCCCCCCCCCCCCCCCCCCCCCCCCCCCCCCCCCCCCCCCCCCCCCCCCCCCCCCCCCCCCCCCCCCCCCCCCCCCCCCCCCCCCCCCCCCCCCCCCCCCCCCCCCCCCCCCCCCCCCCCCCCCCCCCCCCCCCCCCCCCCCCCCCCCCCCCCCCCCCCCCCCCCCCCCCCCCCCCCCCCCCCCCCCCCCCCCCCCCCCCCCCCCCCCCCCCCCCCCCCCCCCCCCCCCCCCCCCCCCCCCCCCCCCCCCCCCCCCCCCCCCCCCCCCCCCCCCCCCCCCCCCCCCCCCCCCCCCCCCCCCCCCCCCCCCCCCCCCCCCCCCCCCCCCCCCCCCCCCCCCCCCCCCCCCCCCCCCCCCCCCCCCCCCCCCCCCCCCCCCCCCCCCCCCCCCCCCCCCCCCCCCCCCCCCCCCCCCCCCCCCCCCCCCCCCCCCCCCCCCCCCCCCCCCCCCCCCCCCCCCCCCCCCCCCCCCCCCCCCCCCCCCCCCCCCCCCCCCCCCCCCCCCCCCCCCCCCCCCCCCCCCCCCCCCCCCCCCCCCCCCCCCCCCCCCCCCCCCCCCCCCCCCCCCCCCCCCCCCCCCCCCCCCCCCCCCTGATATGCTTCTATAGAGATAGGCATAGGAATATATTTGATAAGCATTTGTTGAAAAAGGAATGAATGAGTTGCTAATGTAAGAAGACAAATCTGGGATGTAGTTTCTTTTTGAATGAAGCAGTTACCTTGAAAATAGTTGTGATGGTGTCAAAATGCATGCCCATCCTCCCAAAAAGCTAACTCTTTATTCTTGCCAAAAACAGGAAGAAATTAATAGGAGTAAGAGATCATTTGAATATGCACCAGAACTCGGGACATGAGTGGTCTTGTTTCCAAATGACTAGGGCTTCACTGACTTCTCCTTGCTTTTATTTGTAGAAATTGACAAACCATCCCAGATGCAAGTGACAGATGTTCAGGACAACAGCATTAGTGTCAGGTGGCTACCTTCAAGTTCTCTGTTACTGGTTACAGAGTGACCACCACTCCCAAAAATGGCCCAGGACATCAAAAACTAAAACTGCAGTCCAGGTAAGAATGACCAGCATATTACACACAGCAGAATGAGTAGGCCTACACAATTTTCTTTTTTAAATAAATAGCCCCCTTGTCCTGAGTACTATATATTGTATGCCTGGGTCATAGTTTTCCATTCATAGTTCAGGGCTGAAACTGTTACCAGTCTACTTCACAGTTGAAGTTTTAGGATACATGCATTTCAGGTTTTGCATGCACCATTCTGTTTAGTGGTATAGACATCTTAAATTATTACATCCACCTTTATGGTCTTGTTTAGCATGCACATCATGAAGAAAAGGGTGGACTATCTGAATTTTTCAGTTTCTTGTAGATCTGTTATTTTTATTTTATATGAATCCCATATACTTGTGAAAGACTTGAACAGGTCTTTACCATACTGATATGGTAAATTTGTATTAGCAATGAATAGGTCTGTCCAAGAGGAAATTGATGTCTGATTCCTCCATATTTTCATGATAATTCTGCAAATAAAAGTTCTAGGCTTACTTACTATCAACTTACTACCAAACTCTAGAAGTCACTTGAATGCCTTTATAGGGTATAGACACTGTGTTTGCTTTTAATTCCCATTGCAGATCAAACAGAAATGACTATTGAAGGCTTACAACCACAGTGGAGTATGTGGTTAGTGTCTATGCTCAGAATCAAAATGGAGAGAGCCAGCCCCTGGTTCAAACTGCAGTAACCAGTACGTAACAATGCTTGGTTAACATTTCTAAATTCAAATTTTGTTCTTGGGTATCTGAATGCCTTCTGCATGTCTTTTTCAGTTGTGCACAAGGACAGCCAACTGGCTGACCAGTTCATATTTGAGCTGAGCCCTTGACAAACATTTTTTCTTCTCAGTGCCAGGTAGCGAACTTACAGGAAAGGAAGTTGTGATTCTACCATAGTTAGTTGCTGTGCTTTGAATTTCTTTTGCTCAAATGGCCTCAGCAAAATCTATTTGCCTATACCAAATCTACAAAATATTTTGCTTGGACCTTCTTTTCTATGACTGGATGGTAAAGTTTACTGAAGTGTGCTTCATAAAGCTATTATGTTTGGAGGACTGTGACTGGATCAGTGTTTAATATAAATACTTAATGGAGAGGGGAAAAAAGAGTGTAAGAAAATTACAGCAACTCTGAATCTAACATTGAAAATCAACTTTACCATTCCAAGGCATAGAAAACCCAGGTCTAGGAAACTAACATCACATGGCAAAAACAAATCTTGGTAGAATATCTTTAAATTAATATAAATAAATCTCCATTGTGGGGACATTTTGCAGGGTGTCTACACATCTCACATACACTTGTTATAATAAGTAGTGCTATGTTAAATATTTTCTAAACCAAAAAAATTTAAGCAAATGTCAAGTAATTTTCCACTCAATAGTGGGTTAATTGGAGTTTAATTCATCAAAGAAAATGGTTTCTGCAAAACTGCTTTGCATGTTATAAAAATGCTTATTTCACAACTTGCTTTTCACATAACCTCTTACCATTAATTTGCCTAACAGACATTGATCGCCCTAAAGGACTGGCATTCACTGATGTGGATGTCGATTCCATCAAAATTGCTTGGAAAGCCACAGGGGCAAGTTTCCAGGTACAGGGTGACCTACTCAAGCCCTGAGGATGGAATCCATGAGCTATTCCCTGCACCTGATGGTGAAGAAGAAACTGCAGAGCTGCAAGGCCTCAGGCCGGGTTCTGAGTACACAGTCAGTGTGGTTGCCTTGCACGATGTATGGAGAGCCAGCCCTGATTGGAACCCAGTCCACAGGTATATCGTTAACGGCACCACGCAGGTGCACACGGGAGCAGCGGCTTTATGCCTTGCTGACATTATATACTTTATCGGGCAATTGGTTCCCGGGTAAGGGGGATAAAACAACCCTCAAATTCTGTTAGGAAAGACCCTCTCTAAAGAGGAATGGTAATAAACAATAAAGTTTAGCTGATATTTAGGTAAATAAGTCTAATAAAGGGAATTTGGACTAGCATGGCTTATTAAAAAGGCCATAAAGTAAGACATTTGAAGATGACAATGAAATTGTGGATTATTTTCTAATTTATGACTCCCTGTGGTTACTGTAACTGTATGTAAGGAAAGAAGTTTAGCATCATAGCACTTACTTGTGAAAAGAACTCAAACTGAGGCATTCTCATGGCAGTATGATCTGAGAACGCATGGGTAAGACCTTTCTTTCCTGGCTAGAGATCATGTGCTAGGGGTATAATTTGCTTAAAGGATTCTGATTCGGACACATAGGAAACAGTCATTTGGGCAAATGCTTTCTACAATTCTTTATCCTCTTGTGCTTTATTTCTGGAGCAGGGTGGAATGCTAAAGATGTGTTCTAGTGACAGCATAAACTGTAGCGGAGACAACCTGTATTATTGCTCTTTGCTTCTCTTTTCTGCTTCTGTTGTGAGCTAGTTTTCTTCTTATGCTGCACCACAGACAATACTTTAAATTTAACAATGATGTCTGCCATGGGTCCAAATATAAAGACAGTACAAACACAATTCTGCCTTTTTGGGATGTAATACATTGAAATGGTTTTCCATACAAAGATAATTTGTATAGAAAAAGAGCCATTGCTCATCTTTTCATACAAATGGAAAATCATTCCTAATGACCAATGAGCCAATGTGATTTTTTTGTGTTTTAAGGTGGAAAAAAAAATCAAAACAAAACCTCCCAAACTCTAAAGTCTCTTAGAGTTCTGGAATTTACCCAAGTGTTTCCAGTGATTCTGAGAATTGATAGATATAAAACACATTTTTCAGCAACACTTTCTTCATTTTGTATCCTTCTTGTTGCTTTCTTGTACTGATCTTTGCTGGACCAGGGAATCCGTCTAACTACAAGAACAATCCATTTTATTTCTTGGAATTCACTTTATTTTCCCTTTTCCCCATTTCCTGTGAGATAACCTCTAATCAATGACCATCCCAACAGCCATTCCTGCTCCAACCAACCTGAGATTCACTCAGGTTACACCCACCAGCTTGAGTGCCCAGTGGACAGCACCCAACGTTCAACTCACTGGATACCGAGTACGGGTGACCCCCAAGGAGAAGACTGGACCAATGAAGGAAATCAACCTTTCTCCTGACAGCTCATCTGTGGTTGTGTCAGGGCTCATGGTAAGAAGTAACTTTCTGTCACTGGAATATAATAGAAGGTGATGGAAATGTAATCTCATAATGAATTTAATTGGGATCTTTTCCTCAACCATCAAATAATTTTATTATAATTTTATATCAATAGAATTCATTTTTGTTGCCTTTCCAGATGATTATTGGAACCAAATTTTATAAATAGCTTTGGAATTTGTGTGCTTCCTTTAAAAGTGCTCTGCTTATTTTAAAAGGTTGTTTGTATGTAAGGAGCAATTTATATAACCATAAGATGAATTTCTGCATCTTGTGAGCTGTGTTACCTTGGCAAAAGACATTCTTCAGTTTGTACCAGTTCAAATTGACATGACCCTCATTAAAATATTTTAAATCCTTCTAGACATGTTTGTAGAAAACTAGCTAGGATCCTAGGAGATTGGTATGCATCTTAATGTAAGACCGATTCCAGGGAAAATTACAGAAGAGGGTTCAGAGACAGAATAGAAAATTCTCTTTTCCTTTCTGTGACCAGAAAAATTCATAATTTGTATCTGTCAGATCATAAAGAAAAAAACAGGCTAATACCCATTTTCCTCATTTTTTATCGGTTTAGCATAAATATGTTATTTATGACTTACTTGGGCTTCCCCATGAGAACATTTTAAAATTCACTTCATTTAAATCTGTTGTCAGTCATCTGTAGTTAGGAATGAAATTAATTTAAGAATTTATAGTGTTGTAGGTTTTGCTAGTTTATGTATTTTTGCTTTCATGATCACTACATTTATTTCAATCTTTAATGAAACTCACTGAGCTTCATGTAATGACACTGTGAATGCTTACTGTGCCCTTATTTTTAGGTGGCAACAAAATATGAAGTGAGTGTCTATGCTCTTAAGGACACACTGACAAGCAGACCAGCTCAGGGAGTTGTCACCACTCTGGAGAGTAAGTAATCAAAAGTTTAGTATCCACAACCTTTGGTATAAACAAAAATTAAAGAATGATAAATGATTTCTTTGATCTCTAAATTAGTGAAATGAACCTCAATTTGGAAATTGATGTAATCCCTATCTTTTTGACTGTCACCTCTATTGTCCCTTCAAAAAGGTCTACTGATAAATAAAGTGGAATCACTTCATAACTTTATGATGTTGTGTTATGGATTAGGATGAACACCTCGCTTATGTGCTACTTGTTAGGATTTGATTGGAGAGGGTACGCTGGCTTCTGCTGTAACAATGAAATAGGTATGGGACCAAACTGGGCCCAGATTTTAGTTCTCTGCTGTATCAATAACTTGCTGTATGTTCATTCAGCAGTGATATAAAGTGCCATTTTCACCATCTATAAAACAGGGATAAAATAGGGATGTTTTTTGGTGAGAGAAAAGATGCGAAGCCTTTTAAAAATGACAAAATACTAACAATAATACTAGCTATATGTATGTATATATATTTATATATATAATTGTTACCTGGCTATGTTATTATTCCTATCACATACATTTTTACATTACAGTCAGTTAATCATTTGAACACTTACTGAAGTATTTGTAGATACTATAAAGTCAGCCTGAGAACCACTAGTAGTATTTATAAAGCTTTTCCATTCTTCAAGGGAAAGGCATGAGAGGTGAAAATTTTCATATTTCCTTTTCTCTCTGAATTCTAAAGGAAATAACCTGTACATTATTAATCAGTGTATTTTCTGAAGTGGATATATTTGGTGTAGAATAAGGAAATAACTTAAAACATCAAACTTTATGTGTGTGAGCCAAGCAGGTACTAATATGTAGCTATGGTCCCATGCAGATGTCAGCCCTCCAAGAAGAGCCCGTGTGACAGATGCTACTGAGACTACCATCACCATTAGCTGGAGAACCAAGACCGAGACCATCACTGGCTTCCAAGTTGATGCTATCCCAGCTACTGGCCAGACCCCAGTTCAGAGAACCATCAGCCCAGATGTCAGAAGCTACACCATCACAGGTCAGGGAACTCACCTCACTGACCAAGTGTGTTAATCAGTAGACACAATATAAACTGGCTTATCCATAATTCCATGACTTACCTTGATTAAATTTATTTTTAATGTTTTACTATGGCATGGTCTGAGAAAGTTAATACCATGATCAGAAACAGCTTTGTCTTTGAATTTCTAACTTCATCTAATGTTTGTCAAGGAAATAACCCAAGTTTCATTCATCAAATTTGTTCTTTCACCAAAATGCCCTTATTTAAAAAGAATAAATGTAGCTAGGCATGATGGTGTACTCCTATAATTCCAGCACTTGGGAGACAGGAGGATCTTAAACTTGAAGCCACCCTGGGCTATATAGCAACTCTCTATTCCAAAAACGGAAAAGAAAAAAAAACAAAAACAAAAACTACAACAATGCTTAAAACTGAAAGAAATGAAGTGGTGGTATATAATTCTCAGTATTAACATCAATTAAAAAAAAGCACAATTAAATTTATAAAAAACAACAGCACTACTTAATAAAGATCAAAATGATAATCAGAGAATGTTTAATATCTGAGTCAGTTTAGATCTTTTTGAGATTTAAAAGTTTGATTATCAGTACCAACTAATGACCTGATTATCCTAAAGAGAAAAATCCCTTAGTAAGTGACTGCCCCTCATTCTCTAAGAAGGTAACTTCTAAACCTGTGTTTTTGCATTTCAAAATTATTATAAGGTCTTTGTCTATATTAGCGATTTGATTTTGAGATATGTTTCTCTTGAACAATTAATATCCATACCATGTTCTGCTTTATTGTTCAAATATGGACCACTTCTGTGGTCTTCATATATACGGGATGGTAAAGGAGCTACGACAACTGCAGTTGAGCTTAAACTCTCCTGGTAAAGCAAGAGCAGGTAAAAACTATATCTTCTCAAATCCCAGGTTTACAACCAGGCACTGACTACAAGATCCACCTGTACACCTCAATGACAACTCCCGGAGCTCCCCTGTGGTCATCGATGCCTCCACTGGTAACTATGCTTTCCACTAGGGAAATGCTACTGGCTTGCCTTATCATTAGTCAGGTGAACTTAAGAAACAAATGAGAGGCTGACATTTTCATATTATGGCTTCCAGTGAATCATATTTCAGTTTACAGAATTCTTAGATTCTCTCAAGTCTGTTTAGGACTGGAGTGAGTAGAGACTGTGGGAGAAATTTTCTTGGTTATTCATTATCTGAGACTTTCATTGGTTTTCTTTTAGCCATTGATGCACCATCCAACCTGCGTTTCCTGACCACCACACCGAACTCCTTACTGGTATCATGGCAGCCACCTCGTGCCAGGATTACTGGTTATATCATCAAGTATGAGAAGCCTGGGTCCCCTCCCAGAGAAGTGGTCCCTCGGCCCCGCCCTGGTGTCACAGAGGCCACCATTACTGGTATGGCTACTTCCATGCTGTGATTTTCCCCTTATGCCTTTGGACATGCAAAGTCCTTAACACTCTCTACCTGCATCTTTAATACTATATCATTAGATTCGAAGTCCAGTACTTTAGAATGCATTCTCTATATAAAAGCAGTGAGGGCTGGGTACGTAGCTCAAGTGGTAGAGTGCCTGCCTAGCAAGCCTGTAGGCCCTGAGTTCAAACCCAGTACTGCCAAAAAAAAAAAAAAAAAGCAGTAGATTTCAATGTATCTCAAACCTCATGAACTCATCAAAATGCAATTTCAATACTGTCATATGGTACACTTTGTTTTTTTGATTTAAGTTCACCTGTCCATTCAGTTCTGGGAAAAGATATTTCTCAAGACAATAGCTAATTGTGATCCTGTCATCACATTCAGCTTCCTGTAAGATCTGGTGGTCCTGTAGGACTTGCCAGAGTACCACCTGCCATCGGCCCTAGTTTTTAGTCACAGTATAGGTCTTGAGGCAGAGCCATCCCAACCCTCCTGCCCTCAAGAGAAAGCCTGGAATAAGGAATCAGAATTGTTCACCTTGGTAGGAAATGTTATAGGCCTCTAGTATGCTCTGGTATTATTTTGCTGGAGAGATGAAAGATATGTATATATATATATATACAACACACACACACACACACACACATCTGATTGTTAGAATTCCTACAGAGCATACAGTATCAGGAGATGTTGTTGTTTGACATTTCCAGAGGAAAAAAATAAACAGATGTAGGAGTTGAGCTGGACACTTCCTATAGGGAAGTCACTCTCCTGCACAGTACTCACCTTTAGTCTCACTTTTTTCCTTTGCCATTGAGGGCTGCCTAGTTATCAGGCCTAAACAGATTCATGTGCAAAATATGCAATGACCTCTTCTAAAATTAGATTCCATTGGTGGTATACAATGCTGACATGACATGATAGATTCTTCACAGGCTAAAAGAATACCCCAGAAAAGTTAGCATTAAAGTGCTTATTCAGGTGTCAGGTGTTTAATTGGCTAAGTGGTCTTCATATGCAGAATCTTCGGGGATTTATAGAAGAAAAGTGAAGTTAACTTTACCTTTCAAGAGGCCAACAACCAGCTGGAAAGGGATGCTTGCCCCCCAGTAGCCTCTGCTAGGGAGACCGTTCCCATGTGACTAGTTGAACCTATGGAGTAACGTGATGGTTCCTTTCTTCCAACAGGCCTGGAACCGGGAACTGAGTACACCATCTACATCATTGCCCTCAAGAACAACCAAAAGAGCGAGCCTCTGATCGGAAGGAAAAAGACAGGTAAAAAGCATTTTCTGGGTAATAAGGAGAAGTTTCAGAAAAGACTCATAACAAATTATTGATTTTGCAGTATGAAGTTCTCAATGTTTGGTGCATTTCTCATGGAATTTTTTTCCTAATGGCATAGCTTGTATGTTGTACTCTTTGACAAGAATAACCTAACATGCTCTGCAGAGTTCTGTCTTATTTATTTCTTTACTACAGCCAGCCAATATATCTGAGTCACCTTTCAAAAATTTAGATATTAAATGTGAAACCAAGTTGCCATCACTGGTATTTTTCCATACCTTGTTGCATTTTAAAATATTTCTTTTTTTAAAAATAGAGCAAAACTCTCTTTTGTCTTGATTTATTATTTAGTTTCTGAAACTTGGAACTAAATAATGTCTTACTTTGTCATCCAGCTACAGTTTAATTTGAAGAAAATACTCTATTTGTAGTGATAGGAACACTTAAAAAATAAATGTATATGTATTTTTTATCTTTTTGCCATTTCAAACCATGAAAGACTATTGAACCATACTTCTATAATTTTCACACTTCAGACACTGATATGATTATTTTAGAATCTGTTCTTACAACTTGCTTCTCAAGTATAAAAAAAAAAGAGGAAAAAAAGACTGCAGACTTCAGTTCTAATAGACTTAATTTGAGCAGAGGCAGCTTCTATGGGGCTCAGTGGTTCAAAGCTTTCTGTGTATGATAAATTCATACTAACACTTTTTTCTTTCTCTAAACTATAAAGAAACCTTTGAGGAAGATCATAAAAAATTTCTTTCTAGAAAAAGTGTTTGTGATCTGAGAACTGCTGGTTTTCCAGGGGCTTTGATCAGGTCAATAGTCATTTGTTGCTTGAATTGATAACAATTATTGCTGCTACTGTCTGGAGCTTAATGCGCTTTGCTTTTTTGGCTCTAACCTCTCTTGGCTAGATGAGCTTCCCCAACTGGTAACCCTTCCACACCCTAATCTTCATGGACCAGAGATCTTGGATGTTCCCTCCACAGTTCAAAAGACCCCTTTCATCACCAACCCTGGGTATGACACCGGCAATGGTATTCAGCTTCCTGGCACATCCCATCAGCAGCCCAGTGTTGGGCAACAAATGATCTTTGAGGAACATGGTTTTAGGCGGACCACACCACCCACTGCGGCCACCCCTGTAAGGCACAGGCCAAGACCATACCCACCGAATGTAGATGAGGAGATCCAAATTGGTCATGTCCCCAGGGGAGACGTTGACCACCATCTCTACCCTCACGTTCTGGGGCTCAATCCAAATGCCTCTACAGGACAAGAAGCTCTCTCTCAGACAACCATCTCTTGGACCCCATTCCAGGAAAGTTCTGAGTACATCATTTCATGTCAACCTGTTGGCATTGATGAGGAACCCTTACAGGTAATTGGTTTTTCTCTTTACTTAAAACTGGACAGCCTAGAAAGGGGTTATCTAGGTAACTGTAGTGCCAGTGCACTGATGTAAAATGGTTACTTGTTTAGGACTCTTAGAAAGATGACACATTTAAGCTCTGATTTTTTTTTTTTTAAATCTCCATGTGCCTCTACCTTGGGAGAAGTACCAGAGCATGTCATTAGTGTTATTCAGTAGAGAGAATGAAATCATTTTTGTTATTCTGACACATTGGAGACTCCTTAATGAGATGGACAAAGAGATGATTCTAGAAAAGGAGAAAAATATTCTACTTGAATTTACATTTGTGTAAAGAAGTCTAAAATACCATCCTTAGAGTTCATTCTTGAAGAATCCCATTATCTATAATATGTCTAAGAAACCCAGGTGAAAGTGTGTCATAAGTGATTGACTTTTTAGCTGCAACTCTAAATTTGTCCCACTGTTACATGAATCAGTTTTTATTGTGTTATTTTTAGAAAGTGGCAGAAATTTAAAAGCTGCCTATACTGTGGGAATTTATGAGCTTAGGAACATAAGTTTGAAGATGTGCCTATGTTTTGAGGACTCCATGTTGTGGTTCAATGCCACCTTGTATGGCATGACCACATCTCCCATACAGATCAGTGTCCCTATCATATGTGAAAGGGACATGACCAGGGGTCCCAGTGGACTTGTTCTGATCCATAACTGTGTAAGATGAAGACAAGACTCATATTGATAAGGGCTGCTGGTGACTATGGAGCACACAGGTAGATTTTTGTTAGAAAAATCTGGCAAATGATAGCTTCTCGCACTCATTCCATTTCTCTCCTTGGCTAGTTGGGAGTCCTACACCCTTCCTTTTTATTTGTCTCCCTTTGCTTTGTTTAAACAGGGAGGGTTGTTGTTAGGAGTACAGGCTGGGGCATGTCTGTTCCTTACTATAATGCTTTCTCCTCACTTTGAATGTACCAATAATTGCAGTTCCGAGTTCCTGGAACTTCCACCAGTGCCACTCTGACAGGCCTGACCAGGGGGGCCACCTACAACATCATAGTGGAGGCTCTGAAAGACCAGAGAAGGCACAAAGTTCGGGAGGAGGTTGTTACTGTGGGAAACTCCGGTATGTACGCTCACACGCTATGTGTCTTGGCTGAATTACATCAGAAGAGGTGTTTTCTATTGTTTCTTTGTAACTGTTGATTTTTAACTGGGAGAAGTGAGGCTATACATCAGTAAATGAGCAACTTTAGATTCAATTATTTTCCCTTGTAGTATCCTAGTGTCCTGGTCCACGCACATTCAGAACTGATAAGAACCTCAAACAGTGAGAGGATGACAGGCCTGGAAGGGATTTGAAATATTATTTAGTTCAATACTCTAGTCTTGCTAGTGAGTATCTGCATTGATATAGGGCATTTATTTCCTGATATCTTTCCTGTACCCTCTTTACCTCACCATGCTATGGTCTTCTTGATTTTTTTTTTATTGTTTTATTATTCATATGTGCATACAAGGGATTGATTCTTATTACTGCAACTGATTACCTATAAACCCTCTGCAGACAGCTGGTTTTTGTTCCTGATATAAAAGGCTGCCATCATAGACCATCTCTACCCAAAGAGCTCCCTTGTTCTAAAGTGACTTCAAATTTTTTTTTTTTTTTTTTTAATAACCATTGGTTCCTTTTTGTAGCACTTGAAAAGTCCTTTTAACCTGTAGGGATCCACCTGGCTTTTCAATTTGGAACAACTGATGATTCACCAAGGTGCATGAAAGGGTATAGTCAAAATCACGAATCCTGAATCTTCCAGGGGCTGTCTACTCCACATTCATGGGGAGTGATAAATTTTATCTCCCCCCAGGCAACAGGATTTCTTCCTAGGACAGTTATTTAATTTCAGCCTCCTTCATCATCTCATAGAAGACTGCTCTTTTACACATGTAAATTCCTGTCAATTAAGCAGCTGAGTTTTTGGCAAGCCAGAAGTGGGGATTATTTTGTGTTTGCTGTGTTACACATCCACAGTAATGCTTATCTTTCATCTTTTGTGGTTGTACTAGTAAAATGCCCTGAAAAAAAAGGACATTTTGAGAACATAAGTTTTTTTGTGTTTTTTCCACACCATTTTTTTTTTTTTAAAGATCACATCTCTATAATGATAGAGTGAAATTTTAACTCCTGCTATTTTTAGAATGGTGGAACACCCTTCAACAGTCTGAGCTCTTTGTATTTTCTTTCAACTCCTTATTCCCAGCAGCAGTATTCTTCATTCTAGCTAGGTTCTCTTGGCTTTGAAACATGCCACACTTTTAGTTCTCTAAAATACTGTTTTCTTCTAGGGTGATGCCTTTTGAAATATTAGGTACTTTTGATTTGCACACTGTATAAAGAAGTATGCAAGTAGGATTTAAAGTCACAGTAAGTTAGGCTATTTAATTTTTAGAGAATAATTTGAGGCGTGCTTTATTTACATAAATTATTTTAAAATAAGTTTTTTCCAAAACATAAAGAAACAAGATCTTAGGGTAATGAGATGAGACCCCTACTTACTCTAACTCATCTATATCCTGTTGCTTCTTCTTGTTTGGAACAGTTATTTTATTTATAAAGCAGTTTTTACTATTATAATAACTGAAAATCTATGATTTTTGTATTACTATGCAAAATGTATGATAACAAAAGTGAAGAGTGTATTTATAATGTTATCTAAAAATGCTGACTTGGCTAGAATCCCAGGTATTCAGGAGGTGTCGATCAGTAGGATCATGGTTTGAAGCCAGACCAGGCAAAAAAGTAATTGAGACCTCCATCTCAACAAATAAGTCAGGTGTGGGTGGTATCTGTCTGTGATCCCAGCTATAAGAGAGGCTGTAGATATAAAGATTTCCCTTTGAGACCAACCCCACACAAAAACTTGACATCCTCTCTGAAAAATAACTAAAGCAAAAAAGGCTGGGGGTATGGTAGAGCAACTAAAAGCCCTGAGTTCAAATCCTGCACTGCAAAAACAAACAAAAAAACTTTAAGACATTGTAGACAAAGAATAGCATCTAATAATTCTTAACCTAATGAGCATGTATTGACAAACGGTCAACAGTTTGAATTCTTGACCTCATGTAATCTTCACAATGTCCTTAGGAGGCAGAAATATTTTTATTATTATCCTCCTGTTATAGAAGAGGGAAGAGAGGAAGGGAGATGTTAATGAGCTCAAAGCCACTCAGGTACCGATGGAGAGGCATCATGCCTTGAAGTCTTAACTAGCTTAACCTGCTTCAAGATCTGTTCCATGTTCTGTAAAGGAGACTTACTAGGAATGATCAGTTTTTAGAACTAGGATGGAAATAAAAGATGGGCTGCTTTGAAGATGCCTGTGGCCAGGTTCCACTGCTCTGTGTAAGCATTGCTTATGAGAGTGACTGATGCATTGATAGAGCAGATGAGTGATTCAGTGCTAATGGATTAGGTCATTGTATACAATGGATACTTATGGTCCAAAACCATCAACAAGATTTTTTTTTTCCTTTCTTTTCCCAGTCAATGATGGTTTGAACCAACCTACAGATGACTCATGCTTCGACCCCTACACGGTTTCCCATTATGCCATTGGAGAGGAGTGGGAGCGATTATCTGAATCTGGCTTTAAACTCACTTGCCAGTGCTTAGGCTTTGGCAGTGGTCATTTCAGATGTGATTCATCTAGTGAGTAGCTTGCTTTGCTTCAGTTCCATGCATTTGCACTAATGTATCAAGAAAGCATGTTTGGTAGACAAAGGCTCTTCCAAACATGAAGCAAACATAAAGATACTGTTTGACTCAAAGTAACATTTTGCATCATAGAAATATGATGGGAAATTTTACTTATTGAATATTGCTTCATTTCAAGGGTTGTATGCTAATACAATTATTGATTAAAAATAAGTTTGTAGTGTGGCTTGATTTTTGAAGTTTTCTGTTTAATCAATAAAGCCAAACTCATTGGAGCCATGTCTAACTGGGAGTACCAGAAACACAAAGAAACCCCAAATCTCTTTTAATCTTTAGTTTGGAGTGAGGTCAGAGGTGAACATGTATACTCACAAACACTCTCTTTTAATACCAATCAAACAAACATTTATCATAGTACACATATCACATACATACACTACACAGACACACACATCAAACACAATCATAGTACACACACATACACACACCAAAATAACCCAGATAGCTCAAACATTGTTAACCACATAAAAGAAAGTGGTAAGAATCAACTAGAATTAAAATGATATGATTTCAATATAAAGAGATTTTTAATTTTTCAATTTTCTTACTTAAAATGATCCTAGGAGTTATCTATTATGCTTTGAGATTTAATATTAGAATTTATAACTTTAATTTATCCTTTATTTTTAGGAGATATAATTATTATTGACAATTGGTTTATTTTTGTAGGTGTTAACCATTATTAGGCCTTATGAACAAACCTCCTAAGGACAATTGTAGAAATTGTATTCTGTGGAACTGAAATGCAACAGATTTAAAACTTTTCTTTAAGAGATTTTACTTCACTTGTATACATAAAATGGTTTAACATTGGACATCAACTAAGTGATATTTAACTTCTGTAACTAAGCTACTTTTAAATTTACTTTTTTTTAAAATCATGTATAAGTACTTAGGTGTAAATGTGGGGACAAACTATAAGTTTATGTAAATCTTCTGCTCAACTTACATATTGTCTGTTTAAATGTTATAATTGCATAATATCTTTTCTTCCAGTTTAAGGAAGGCTGAATTGTTGATAAAATGGAAGAAATAATGCATTGTTGTATGAACTTGTGAAGTGTGTTCTGTTTCATACAATACTTGGAGATTAAAAAGTCATTTTTTATGTATGTAGTTACAAAAATACAACTTGTGACTTCAGGATATTCTTCAGAACCATTCTTCTATTTGTAGGAATAGTAACTTTTGATTTATCATTCTGTTTCGCTTTTGTTGCCCATGTTTATTCTTTTATTCTTTCCATTTAGATGAAACAGGTGATGGCAGGTAGAAACCAGCCGATATCTATTTTAGGTTTAATTGAACTACTTTGTATCTAGGGCCTCTGCAAATCTAAAAATGACTTTTTCTTTATTTCTAAAAAGCTACTCCAGCCCTACTTCAGTTTTCCACAATTTTAAATCTTACTAATGAGAATTCAAATGAAAGTCATGAGCTAGTTCTGTGACAATACTTTGAAGGAATAAATCTTAAAATGGCACAGAATTGGTTCATTTTAGGGATCATGATCTTTAATGGCCACTTCTTCTGGATTGATAGCTTTTAAAATACTATGACATGTCCCAGTGCACTGGCTGTCATATGAGTCAGAGTGCAACTAACTCTTTGCCTGTGATGTCCCATCCATACAGAATGGTGCCACGACAATGGTGTGAACTACAAGATTGGAGAGAAGTGGGATCGCCAGGGAGAAAATGGTCAGATGATGAGCTGCACATGTCTGGGGAATGGAAAAGGAGAGTTCAAGTGTGATCCTCGTACGTCATCACAGATCACTTCCACAGCCTTATGAAGGGCTCCCACTTTCATTACTGGGCTGTAACTCTTGTTCACAGGATTGATTGGAGACTTTAGGTCTCTCTCTGAGGCTTGAACAGTGGGTTTGTTAATCTCTTAATTTAGAAAAAGAGAGGCAAGCTTTAAAAATGAGCCAGGACAATGTTTTTACAGGGTACTTTAGCAATTTTCTAACCTGAGGATTTTAACTATTATGTGCAGTGAAATGTTGCTATTGGTCTATAGATTCAACATTTAAAATATGACTTCCGTCTTCCTGTTGAACCTGTTAGATCTAGTTTTGGGAAATACTGCCCTAAGATCTACATAGCAGTACCTCTCATGATGATTCACATACATTTAGGAGATTTGGGCTGTGATGATACAAATGTATCAAGTTGGATCTGCATTCTGTTCTCGGTCTTACAAGTACTTCTTATTTGTGCTCTCACGTAGATGAGGCAACATGTTATGATGATGGGAAGACCTACCATGTAGGTGAACAGTGGCAGAAGGAATATCTTGGTGCCATTTGCTCTTGCACATGCTTCGGAGGCCAGCGGGTAAGACTGTATGCACTGAGCTCCCTGCAACATAGATGAAGACACAGATAAGACTCCTGCATGAATGTGCTGGGTACACAGTTGTGCCAGGACCTCTTATGAGGAGTCCATAAGACTCCGGAGTGTCCGTCTTCAGTTGTCCCCTCCTTGACAGCCTCAGCCCCTCTCCATTCCACCTATTCTCATGCCATCCTGTTCTTCAGCACCTGAAATGCTAATGCTGTGAGTACAGATCCCTCAGCTCCAAGCTGATGCCCCTGTGGTATTGCTGCTAAATATTTTGAACAATACCTTCAGCAAATAAAATGCTACCTCTTTGTGCCCTTCTTTAATCTAAAACTAAACCCCTTGTTACTGCTCTAACACTGCCAAGTAACAAGGGAATATGTGTCCCTGGCCCTTAATGATATAGTTGGAGACATTAAATTAGCATAAATGCAAAGTCAAGTTGATGAAGTGAGATTCTGAGTGAGTCTGACTAATAGTTCTGGGTGGGCTAGAATCAGTTAGAAAGGTTTTATAGAAAAGACAAGCATAAACTGGCTGGGATTTACCATAGCTGAGATTTGGTTGAGGGAGGGAAAGAAGTGGAAAGATAGTAAGTCCCTTTTAGAAGCTGTAGGATTCTATGAAAGACTCCTCCTTCCAGTGCAAAAAGCATATTTAAGAAAGTTGGGAATGAATGAACCTTAGCAGATGAGTGGGACTTGCACAGGAAGAGAAGCAAGGACATTTCAGAAGAAAGGAAAAACATAAGTAGACAGAACAAGCTTAAGATATGATAATAAGCCAAAATGTATTCTAAGAGTTGTGATGCATGAGATCATCATCAAAGCTTCCTTAGTGATTAAACTGCTTATATTTTGCCAATGCATAAGAGC